AAAAAACACTAGAAATCTGGCACTTTGACAAATTAGCCATCAATAGACACATCAACAATATCTATATGCTATGCAAAAGAGAAATCAACAAGTCAAAAAAGGGAAAAACTAAAAGACCAAAAACACCTTCCTACCAACAATGAGCACCCAACCACAGATTAACTCCAAGATTAACACCAGACCAACAATTCAAACGCCACTCCTTAGTAATTAGTATCTTTCCTAGTTTGGGATAATGCAGATAATGTAATATCTGCAAGAAAACAATCAAGTTCTGAGAACATCAAAGATCCCTCATTTCAACCCTGAATTATAAAGGTTCTTCTTTATGAAATAACAATATCTTCAGCATGTAATGGAATGGAAATTGATATACTGTATACATAAACTCCTGTAGAAGTTAGGTTATATTAGTCAATTCATTGCCTTTCAAACACCAAGACTGTCTTTAGGTGCCCTCATATAGTATCATGATTAAATGGAGAAACCAGTAATCAATGAAAAAAACTGCCAATTTTTGCCACAACCTTTTATGGAAGATTAAGTCAAATATAATTTGTAATCTATATGTACAGTTTTTAAAGGGAACATCTTTGGGTAACTATTTACAACCAAGTATCCTACAGTATTAAATGTACATATTAGTTATACATTTTCAAAGATAATCTGAACTCTTCCACAAAATGTATAATTTGCCAGAAATATTATGTGAAATTATCCACTTCATATTTGGCCATTCTGATCAGGGACAACTCAAAAACAATATTATCTGGATTTAATTGCCTAATTCTGATTATCATTTTCCTCTAAAGAATTCATACAAGTTCTTTTTTTCTTCACAGCTAATCTTTATTCTTTTCCAGATGACTATATAGAAAAATATGAAAGGCTTTTGACATTAAAATAATAATGTATTTCATTATGTGAGGAAATGGAGATATTTTTATAATATTATAACACTGTTATCAAACAAGCATAGTTATTTTCTGTAACTTTTTTAAAAGAGATGTCCTTTCATTATATATTTAAATGAATTTCTTAAATTCAAATTAGTTACATTTGCAAAACATATTTTTCAAAAGATATTAGCAGTCGTATATTCCTTTTGACTAACATATCTATGGCTAATGGACACAATATTTCTAATTTTTTTCCATTATGAATAGTTATTATTCAGATAAGGAACCTGAATTGCCATACATGTAATTCCTTGATTGTGAATTAATCTGTGATATTTATTTGCTTTAGAAATAATGATAGTAATGCATTCAGTGACTTTATTTGCAGGTAACCTTACACTTGCATATAATACAGGTATTACAACTATTGCTGCTTCTTTCCATAGAAGTTTTTTTTTCTTTATCCTGGGTTATGAGAGTTTTGGAAAAACTGCTCAGAAGAGAATAAAAAGGATTACCCTTGAAATAAATAGCCAAATAATATTTTAAAAGTATAAACTATATCAAAATTTACTGGAAAAAACACTATTCTATTAAAATTACATGTCAAGAACAATTTTACAAATTACTATATTTTACAATGAAAATGTAAGAACTATGGAGCTGTTTTGCAACTCTCCATACCTAATAGATGTCCTTAACTCAGGGGTGTCAAACTCGCGGCATCATGTTGTTGTCACATGATGTATTGCAACTTTTTTCCTTTTGCTAAAACGGGGGTGGGCTTGGCCTCACGAATTGCGAATTTGACACCCCTGCTTTAGCTAGTATATTTCCATAAACAGGTATATTTCTTACCTTCTTTGCATTTGACTACATTTTTCAGCTGCTGAAAAGACTCCACTGAGCAATTAAACCCAAGTATCTCCAATAGTATGACAGTTTCATTGTCATGGTTTTTAATGCTCATCAATAGCTCTTATCAATTGGATTCTTCTATAACTTTGGAAGCCTTTCAACAGCTCAACTAATTTAGGAACAGAACTGTTTGCCCTGATCCGTATATAAATGCTGATCATGCTATTTCCATTAGCAACATTACACAAACACAGAAAAAGAGTAAGGTAGTAAGCAAAAAAAAATTTAAAAGCAGAACAGAAAATAAAATGAAAATTAATTAAATCTACCATACCTTGTGCTATTCGTTATATCACTTTATACATTTTTTGCACTTTTCAAGCCATTTATGCTTCCACCAGTCATACACCAATCATATATTGCCTTTTCTTCTTTAAACTCCTCCCTTCCCCCTTTTTGAGATTATCATTAGCTCATTCCAATCATAGGTTCTTTGTTTTTTTTCCCAGCCTCCTGACTCACTTTTAATATATTTGTTTTCCAATTCAGTCCTCATACATTCTTCCTAAATCACCCAATCTCCTCAGTTTACAATATGACTTTGACTAGTTGCAGCTTCAATGGCAGGGGTGTCAAACTCGTGGCGTGTAGGCTGGATGTGTCATGTGCTGGCCACGCCCACCCATTTTAGTGAAGGGGGGAAGTCATGATATGTCATGTGACGACAACATGACGCTGTGAGTTTGACACCCCTGTTCTATGGAATGCTTTCTGATAAGATGGAAAAGGAATAGATTACTTTCTTTAGCTGTTCCTGTGCTGCATGCCAGTTTTCCAGAAAGTCAGAACCTTCAGTTGACCTGTTTTTGACCCAAATTCGGTAAAAGATGTGTTTACTTAGATCATGGTCATACTATTCTATTCAAGCTTGATTATCTGTGTTTAAATTACCTTGCAAGCCAACATACTCTTGTCCTACTCTACCATCCAGATATATATGTAAGAAACTGACACTTTTAGGAAGTGCAAAACAAAGAATAGCAAAAATGCTGCTCTGAGTGGGAGAACTTTATATATTGTGTTAAGGTAAGATTAAACAGACCACATTTTGACTTTTGTAATGTGATTAATAGTGTGGAAGAGATAAGGGGAGAAAGAGAGAAGAAGATCTGTCCTATTTCTAGTCACATTGACTGCCTCAGACTGCTTTTGCTCTTTGCAGGCAAAAGCTTGATATAACCTCTACAGTTATATAAAATTTGGCTTTTTATTTTATGAGCTCAAAAAGATATTCCAATGTCATATGACATTAAACTCCAACTATTCACAATGCAGAAACTTGATAGCAAATAACACACAGTCTTTCTATAACTTTAGGAGAAAAAACCAGGCCAGTGATTTTATATATGAAATTGTTAATTTTACAAAAAATTAAAATGAATTCAGAGACATGCATACAAAAATTACAACAAACTGAGAGGACAAGAAGTGTTTTCAAGATTTTTACATTACAAAGAAAGATCATTATCTAGATCGATTATACTGTTAACTTATTTCTAATGCTTCCTACTCCACCAAGTGGACTGACGGTGTTATTTTTACTTGTGCAATTTTCACAGTTCCCAAAAGAATAAAGGAACATCAGACGTTTCTATAGCAACAAAACCTAATTCTTTCCAAATTTAGAAAACAGCTCAAGTACTGACTTCAACATCTTTCCTGAATTAGGATGTGTTATATGACACAGTTTTGGTTTGGAGAGCTTAATAACTGCAAGTGGAGGAGTTATATTCGGGAGAACATATTCATTAAATACTGTACTCTCACTTTCTGATATTTTAAAGATGAGCTGAGTTTTGACAAACAATAACAATAACTTTTAGACCATGAGCTATTGAATCTTGCTTACAATCAAACAAATGTGAAACCTGTGATCATTGGTTACAATTGTTTACAAGACTTTCTCATCAGTATGGAGTAGCTGATAAGTATTTTATACTCAGTTAATAAATTTAGAAATTATCAAACACATTCATCACTTGATGTTTGGAAGTAGAAATCAAAGAAGACAGAAAAGGATTGAAGAAAAAAGTGTCAGACAGAGTTATTGTAACCAGGAAAGTTACAAATAAGTAAAGAAATACAAATAAGTAGGACTGTCCAACTATAAGGTTAATATTTGATTGGTTTAGGAACTACAAGAAATGATGAAAGTCTTACTCTAATAGCAACAGAGAAGTTGCCTATGAGATAGAACTCAATGAGAACCCCAATTCACTAAAGGTCTTCAACCCCAAGCTGCTAATGAGAAATGAAATGTCTTTTCTGGTAGTGGAACAGGAACAGCCAAACAGCAGCAGTATTCTAAGATCCAAATTTCCCTGAAAAATCTCAAGACATATTAAGTACCATTGTGAAACCTCTCTGGCAGCCATTGCTATCCACAACTGAAAATATCTTTCATAGTAAAAACATCTTTGAAGTAGGGTTGAATTTATTAAATGTGGAACTCATTCACTAAATCTGGGAAACAGCTGGAATCATTTAGACCAGGCCACTTTGGAGGTTGTCAATTTGACCATGGTCCAAATCCAAATTTTGCTTTACTGCATGTTTCTTCTTTAACAATCCTTGGAATTATCTATCCTTGATTTAAAACACACATACATACATACTTCACACAGAAGTAGATGAAATTGACAGGCAAAGTTTTTCCTTATATAAGTCCCCACCTCCCACAGATTAATAGGCACAGATTCTAAAAGAGCTGAGGAAATAGGCATACACTATACTTTTTTTTTTAAAAAGGACATAACTTAGAACAGAAAGTTACCCAATTAAAAATTTTGACTGAATACAATCTTAAAATATTAATTATGATAATTGCATATAAAGCTTATCTGACACTAGTTCTCTAGAAAAGATCCTGGATATTTTTGTAATGGGAGTTGAGCACTATATAAAATGATTGTGTGCCTTAGGCAAGAAACAGGGCCCTTAAATAACTTTAAATAAAATAGATAATGAAATATGTTCCAAGTCTTTTAAGTGATACATTAGAAAATTATTGCAGGGACTAATAATACTTTTAAATTAAGGAAAGAGTAGTAGATGCTGCCAAGGGGAAAGTTCCCATCATAGATAATAAGGACATTTCTGAAACCAGCAATTAGTGCTGTACATTTCTAGTAAAAATAAAGTATGTAAAGTGTTTCTAAATGGCTTCTCTCTTTTCTTTTGTAGGATTAATGCTGATGAAACTGCACTTATCCTCTTTATATCTTGGGTGATGTTTGTGAAAGAAAAGAGTAACGTCCTGTCACTTGTCCTTTACTCCCAAATTCTAATTACTATAAAAAATTAAATCCCACTTACAAAGTCTTGGTAAGGCTTTAATTAAGTGAGCCTACTTCAAACTATTTAACTTTTTAAATATATTTGAATGTTCCAGGTCAAGGGCATTCTAAAACTTGGTTACAGAGGATTAACTTGGGCAATGTTTTATTTTCGCCCTTTCTCAGGTTACAAAGTGCAAAGAATTCTGGATAATATTTCTATGAATCAAATTGCTAAAGAACTTAATCTTTTTTGTAAAGAAGTATCATATGGGGAGAAAAATGAAAGTGACACATTTTCAGATATCTTTATCACAGTCTTTGACCAGCTTTTACAATAAAAGAGTACAGTAAAGGAGAAATATTTTAGTATAGTTATTAGGGAAGGGGATAATAATAATAGAACAATAAAACAGAGTATCTAATTAACAAGGTTGCACACTTGTATAACTTGGAGAAAATGTTTGGCCACCTAATATGTGAGTGAAGGGTTAGCATCCATTAAAAATAATAAACATAAAATTTACCAGCATGACCCTTACATTTGGAAATGTTTGGTGTAATCAGGCCTGGACTAGGAATCTAATCTCAGGTCTTAGAATAATGTTTGATCCTATAGCCCTGATGCCTCTGCGCTGTCAAACAATTACCAATTTCATTGGTACCACACCTGGACAGCAGAACCTAGCAGTCTTGGTCTCTCTCATGAATATTTAGGCCAATTAACCCTGGAGAAGGCCAAATCAATAGTAAGAGAGAGAATCAGGGACATTGATCCCTAAAATGTTACTACCACTGCTCCTGAATTCTATTGCCAATTGTCAGACAGTTGCAAGACCTGTAATGCAAGGTGCTTATACAATTTAGCATTAATCAAATATAAATGAGCCTTTTCCAGACTCTGATTTGATGCCCTCCCATCAGTTCCTGGAGGGAAGATTTCATGGGACCTCTTATTCACAGAGACTTTGCTCTTGTGGTTCCAGGGACATAGAAATTCTCACCCATTTTCTCATATATTACCTTTTCCATGATGCCCCAAGACGTGCTATGAAGGTGACACACTTTACAGAATAACAAAATAAGAGAGTTGGAAGGAACATTGCAGGTCTTCTAGTCCAACCCTCTGCCCAAGCAGGAAACCTTTTACTATTTCAGACAAATGGTTGTCCAATGTCTTCTTAAAAGCCTCCAGTGTCATTCCACTGATTGTTTTATAAGCATTATGCTAACATAATATCTAAATTATGGATATTTTTAAAATACAGAGTACTATTGTATACACAGTATATTTTATACACAGTTCAGTTATGCAACCAATAAAATATTTAGTGTTTCCGTGTTTAATTTTCTACATCAGTTTTATGTCAGCATGAATGTTCCCGCATGTGATGTGCAAAACTTCATAGTCGAATTTCATGAATGGGAGAACTGAAATGGTCTGAAATCCCACTTAAAGGTTGCCTTCTTAGCAGGGGGATAAAACCGATTTAGTGGAAACAAAACAAGAAAAAAACCAATTTTTTTAAAAAAAATCCTACAACACATCAACATAGCTTTTTTCTCATCTCCATATTATGTCACCTTAGTGAGTAAATATTTCCATAAAGAAGCTGCATATTATTTATATTTATATTTATATTTATATTTATATTTATATTTATATTTATATTTATATTTATATTTATATTTATATTTATATGCTGCCCTTCTCCGGAGACTCAGGGTGGCTTACAATGCGTTAAGCAATAGCCTTCATACTTTTGTATATTTTATACAAAGTCAGCTTATTGCCCCCACAAACCGGGTCCTCATTTTATCTACCTTAGAAAGGATGGAAGGCTGAGTCAACCTTGAGCCTGGTGAGAATTGAACTCTCAGTAATTGCAGGCAGCTGGAAGCTAAATACTACCTTTAACAGTAGCATTAGTCTGCTGCGCCACTCAGGCTCCTTATATTATACAGAGAGCACTATCATTGTATAATAATATAGTGGACACCCCAGGGAATTATCGATATATCCATGTTATTCCATACAAACAAAGAAAACGTAATATTTTTAGCTAGAACTTTTGAATGAGAAGGGCTGGCCCAGGGTATTTTTTGCTTAGGGCAGAACAGTGAAGAATTACTTTTAATCTTCCAAGTTAAAATACATAGCATTAACCTGGATAATTTTGACATAAAGCAGACATCCCACAAACATTTATTTCTATCCCTTTCAGTAAAAATAGGCTATGAATAAGCAAGCATTTTAGTTATTTAAAACAAGTTTAAACAGTTTATTTAAAGCAATGTGATGCCATAGATAATAGCAATAGCAGACTTATATACCGCTTCAAATTGCTTTACAGAGCTCTCTAAGTGGTTTACAGATGTAGCATATTGTCCCCAACAATCTGCATCCTCATTTTACTGACCTCAGAAGGATGGAAGGCTGAATCAATCTTGAGCCGATGAGACTCGAACTGCCAAACTACTGGCAGTTGGCAGTCAGCAGAATTAGCCTGCAATACTGCATTCTAACCACTGCGCCACCATGGCTCTTAATAGTTGTTGGAAAAGTATAACTCTACATTTTTGTTATTAGTTTATACTGTAATTATTATATTGACTTTAAGTTAACTTTTTATTAACTACTGTTTATTCTTTTCAAAGAACTGTACAAACAACTTGTTCCAGTACAAGTGCAGGCCATTGACCATTTTTCAAGGACAGGTATTATCCTCCTCCTCTCCCAATTCATATGAAAAGCAATCTCCATAAACATTTTCATCTACATTGTAAAAATAGTGTTTCTGACTTGCATTTGGTTAATTGGTGCTGTTTGATTTTCCTGTTGCACTTCTAGGCAAATATTTCCACTCCAATTGTCTACTGTGCGTTGTGGCAGGAATCCTCCTACATATCATATGTAGGTCAGAGGGTTAAAGCCCTTCATGGAATGGTAGAATGGTGAAAGGTTAGGCTTTTAAGTTCCCCAATAAAACAATGGAAAATATGAAAACAATTATTGTTTTAAATTCAGGCAAAATTAACAAGGACTGTCCCACTTTCCCCTTGCTGCCCAAGTGTGTGTGGGGGATGAGATGGATAGACAAAATTGTGACGGTTCTTTCTTCTTATAAATTTGTTCAGGATGAACAAGACTAAAAAGAGTTTGAAATTCACCAAGGAATGTCGTGGAATATAGGATCTGGAGAGAATATCACCATAGCTGAAATCAAAGACATGGCTGAATCCTCAAAAATTTTTTGCTGAAACCACCCACCATACAAATTTGGTACATCTTTTTCACAATAAAAACAATAAAAGGCCCTCAAAATCTGACAATTGCCCTATTTTTCTTAATTGTATTTTCTCAAATGATAATTCAACATGATTTTTAAAAGATTATTATTTTATTTAGACTAGTCTCTGTTTATTTAAGAGAGGGACTAACCTCTGTCCTATTCATCTTGAATTTATCCAGTTCTTGCATATATTACTTTTTGAAACCTCACAAATTCTAAAGTCTTTTAGCAAGTTATTTTTCTAAACGTTCACACAGACTGACATTTCTCCCTCTGTTTTGCAGACGAAAGTAAAATAATAATGGGGCTAAAGAGGTAGACATCCCCCTTACAGACAAAACTAATGGCTTCGAAGTGGCATTTCTAGCATAGTCTGGATATAATTTTCTTCCCAGAAATTGAGAAGGAGGGAGGCTTGCTGAAGTAATCGGGTTGTTTTCCAGCTACCACTGTTTACTTGCCTATTTCCCAAGCAATAATAATTAATGTATGCCTTCTGCTATGGCATACACCAGCTTGTAAGATTAATAACAACTGACAGGCAAAAAGTAGTGGCCACAGCACAAACTGATCTCCAATTCATATAGAGTTAGGATTGGACAGGTGTAGAATTGACCACATAAGCATTTGAGCAGAAGAAAAGAGTTCCTGATTTCAGTCACCCTTTTTGAATTTAATTCCAAATCTAACATATCATTAACTATATTTATGCATTTATTCTTATGACTTCTGCAAAGCAATTTTCTTGTTAATCACCAATTATCTACTTACCAGTTAATGCTGTTTAATATTGACTGAAATGTTAATTATTTGAAATTCAGATTGTGCTATCTATCTATCTATCTATCTATCTATCTATCTATCTATCTATCTATCTATCTATCTGTATCCTGCCTTTGTTATTTCTACAAATAACTCAAGGCAGAAAACATATTCAATGCACCTTCCCCTTCCTATGTTCCCTACAACAACGACCCTATTAAGAGGGTTGGGCTGAGAGAAAGTGACTGGCCCAAAGTTACTCAGCCAACTTACATTGCTAAGGCAGGACTTGAATCTTCCACTTTCTAGTCTTAACCACTAGACTAAACTGATTAGATATGACCTTTATATGTATAGATAAATAGTTGAAGCTAATATAACAATAACTCTCATATCACAATGAGAATCCATTTAAGTCACAAATTATGAGTTACTTACATTATATAATCTATCCACAGCTTAAATAATTAGGCACTAGAATAACATTTTGGAATAATGGAGGTTGTTGCCATGTCACAGAACGGATGCGAGTTGAGGATTCGGATAAAATCCTGCCTCTCCATGTGAAATTCCTATGTGGGATCTCTTGTCCAGTTGAATGTAGGAATAAGGAATTGAATTTCCCTCCCATCTTTCTGATTTGTCCAGACTAAATTGCTTCAGTGGAATTGTTCATTGCTTCACTTCAAAAAATGATAAACTACCAATCCTGTGTTGTGGCCCTTTATAGTTGAACCTTTACTGGAAAACCTTTGCTGATATATATATATATGTGTGTGTGTGTGTGTGTGTGTGTGTGTGTGTGTGTGTGTGTGTGTGTGTATAGTTAATATTTCGGGTTTCTTCCCGTGTAATTGTGGATATATCCCTAAAAGGGTAGAAGCAACGTTTCGGCAGAATCCCATCTGCCATCATCAGGCTTATGCCTAATGTTTGGCAAAACATTAACCACAAGAACTAAACGTCTGGCTGATGAAGTACATTTACAAACTGAATTATATACACTAACTAATGTACTGACATCAAATGGGTTCTGTAGAAATAAAGTCATCAATATGATCAAACATACAACACCAAGACAGAATAAAAAACAACAAGAGGAACAAAACAATGGGAAAGCCATCTTGCCCTATATAAGGGGAACAACAGATAAAATTAGCAAAGTACTACAAAAACACAACATCAAAACCATATTTTGCACAAATAGAAAGATATCGTCCATTCTGAGAAACCCCAAAGACAAAATAGAATTAGAAGATCAAGGCATATATGAAATCCCATGTGCTTCCTGCCCATCAACATACATTGGACAGACCAACAGAAGAATGAGTGTTCGCATCGAGGAACACAAAAACTCAATACAAAAGCAAGAACACACATCATCATTAGTTCAACATATAAATACAACAGGACACAACATTAATTTTAATAAAACAAAAACAGTTGCAAAAATAGAACATCTCAATGGCAGGATAATCAGAGAAGCAATAGAAATGGAAAGAAGACCATATTGCATGAATAAACGGGATGACACTTCACGTCTGCCTACTATTTGGAAACCTGCTCTCATAGATAGACGAATCTTGACACCATATGTGGAACATGGACCAAACATTGCACAAAAAAATCCCAACCAAATCATATTCAAACCAGCCACAAAGATAAAGCCCTGCCACCTAGTGGAGAAAAACCGACCATACACCCGAAGCCAAGCCAATAAACACATACTGGGACTCCCAACCAATCAGAATGAAAAGGTGGAGCCATCCCAGAATACCAGCACCAGATTTGAAATTCCAACGTCAGTTAGTGCAAAATGACTACTGACATAAGCCTGATGATGGCAGATGGGATTCTGCCGAAACGTCGCTTCTACCCTTTTAGGGATATATCCACAATTACACGGGAAGAAACCCGAAATATTAACTATACACACATACATACCCGTGAAAACTTACATAAACAAATATATATATATATATATATATATATATATATATATATATATATATATATATATATATATTTAAATCAGCTATGAGTTCCTTAACAAGTATAAATTCAAATGTTGTAGTTATTATAGTTTTAATGACAAAGCTATTTCTAATCCCATAAATTATCACAATAAACCATGGGTTTATAGCAGTCCAGAAGAGTGTTCAAGGTTTATTTTCGGTGTACGTGTATCCTATAAGTGAATAGCAACTTTTTTATAGAATGTCAGGGAAATAATAATTTTGTTCAGCAAAAATGTGAAAGTCTGACAAAGAAAGACATTTATCTGTTTCAAAGGTCTTGTGGTGATTAGTTTGCCCCTAATTAATGATGGCTTTTTAAAATAAGAGATAATTGCTGACACACATAATGCAGACAGGTCAATAGCTAAAATGAGCAATAATGAATATGTACTTTGAAGCATGTCTGACAGAGTGCTTAGAGTACAAAAAGTTAAAGAGGTACCTTGTGCACATTTGATAAATGACATTCTTCTGCTATCCTCTTTTTCTCTCAGTGTTTAAGGATTATAGCTTTTAATGATTTGGGGCTGGAACCTTGACTCTTAAAATCTGAGATTTATGATAATTTAGAAATGCCCATATTAAGATGGGAAAAAAGAAGACTCGGATTATTTCTGATCATGATAATTAATAGCAGAATCTTCCCTTGTAACAAATTCAATGGAGGTCAATGCGTTGCTATGGTAATGTCCTAGCCAAGCAATTTTGCCCATTTTCCAGTCTGCTGCTCCTTTGCATAACTGTGAGTGATAAAATGTTTTAATTGCAATATTTGCAAATGATGCAACATCTGGGCTCCAGATTTACATAGAAAGATACAAGATTAATGGAGTTATTAGCATATTGGTGTAAACCTTGATATAATAAATTTAATTACTGGAAGCTAAACTTTCACTGATAAGTTCTTGCATGTTAGGCAGGTAAGAAGAAGGAGAATCATATTAAAAGCGGTCTCATTTATTACAAGATCTTTTTTAGATATGTTCTTTTCCCATTAATATTAGACATGAAAAATATGTGGCACATTAACTGGAGGAGCCAAAACAAATTAGCTTGTTGTTTTTTGGCTGGTTTATGTATTTAAAAAGTTGAACATTACTATAGAATTAGTATTTGATGGCAAAAGCAAACCTTTTACTAGTTTTGGCAGGGCTTTATGAGCTCTCAAGGTGTGTAGCCCTTGTAATGTTATATAGAAAAGACCTTGGGGTAATAGGAGGAAAAGCTGAAGACTACACAACCAGCATGTCTCTTCCTCCTGTCTCCCAAGGTCATTGCCACATAGCATTATAGCCCTTCAATAAACTTTTATTTTAGTAGTGTCAATTTGACAAAGCAACAGAAATGAATTGAAATGAACTCAGCATATGAAGGCTTTTATAGATGTTCTGGGTTCTCACATAGCACTACAATGGAATAATGACATTTTGGGGAACTATAAATAATATGGAGTTTAGCATGAGCTAAACTTGATACTTAGCATGTTAAGGAATTCATTGATAAATTTGAGCTAATGCTAAACCTTTAATCATCATTTTTTATTGTTGACAAGGCAGTACGATCCTTCTCTCCCTTCCCTAGGCCTGCTGTGTTGCCTAAACATGGAAATGGGGAAAACTGTTCCTGAGAAGAAAGAGGAAAGAACGTGGAATGCATCCCCAAAGTATATCAGGGTCACCTAAACCATGAAAGTCATGCCAGTTGTCCAGCTAAAGCAAACAAGCATTAATATTGGACAATACAAGATAGGAAAATGGATGATCAATTCATATTGCAGGAGAGAAGTATGATAAACCACTCCTGTAGTTTTGCTAAGAATAGCACATAAAAATAGAGAACATAAAATGATTAACAATATAGTGTTATATAATGGCCTCTGGGTCAGATTGCACTCAACATGCTACTGAGGAAGAGATGAGGATCTTTTGGACTGCTTACAATGTGGTTAGATTAAAGATTTGGGGACACTTAGTTTTTGATGATACCATACATACAAAAACAAGAAAATCTGAAGCTGCTTTGGAGTAGGAACATGGAACTAAGAAGCATTAATGCAGGAAGATGAACACAGTGAAGGATGAAATAAAACGACTATAAATTGAGATCTTAAGCATCAGTGAATTGACAGGGATTGGACACTTTCATTAGGAATAACAGTGTATTACACAGGACATGTATTGTTGCTTTTCTAATTAGGAAGGGTAGAACAACAATAGAACTTGACTATTGTGAAATCAATGACCAAATATATCAATTATGG